TTTGATAACCACCCGCCCTCAATCTGTGAATCCCTGGCAAATGTTTAGAAATAAGATGCGCGGCGCTTAGGCGAGAGCCACATTTTGAAAACGACCCGCCCTCGATCCGTGAACCTCTTGCAGTTGTGTGCAACGAGTGTGCGCGGCGCTAGGGCGAAAACTACATATTGAATACCACCCGCCCTCCATATGCGAAGCTGCTGCCATTTATTATGCTTCAGGGTATGAGTGGTGGGGAAGCCTCAGGCACAACGCCCGGCCCGCCCTAAAAACTGGCTTCGGGGTGCGGCAAGGAGAAGTTCTTGATAAGGAAAAAGAGCGGAGCAGGAGCAGCAGCAGGAGCAGGAGGAGGAGGTAGGAGGGAGGAGCCTTCCCCCGCCCCCAGTCCTCGCCCCCCCCGCTCACCCCCTCCCCCCGCCCGCGCCTGGGAGGCGGCGGGCGTGCGGGAGGAACTCCACGCGATCACGAAGGCGCCGCGTGGGGGAGGGCGGCGAAGGGGCGAAGGGGAGGACCCGTCGGAGCCCTCCTCCTCCTCCTCCTCCTCCTCCTCCTCCTCCTCCTCCTCCTCCTCCTCCTCCTCCTCCTCCTCCTCCTCCTCCTCCTCTTGCCTCTTGCCTAACTGCGCGCCAAGCTCCTCTGACAGGTGGCGCAATAGAGCTGAACTATAGCTCTGGGAAGACTACTGCTCGTGGGGGCCCACATATTCTGGCTGGGGCCACTGTTTGTAATATTTGGGGAGTTCCCCTCGTTCGAGGGCAGGGCCTCAATGGTTCTCTTGCCGTGGGTAGACAAGGCACACCTTAGCGAGCACGTCTGGCTCAACTTCTGGAAAGAAACTGACCCCGCCCCTCCACAAGCTCTGCACCAATAAATACCCCTGAAGTGCATGAGCTGGTGGGATCTATGGAGTTGGGCGGGGAACCCCCTGCACTGTTGGCTCAACCAAACGGGTCGAGGGCAGTCAGAGGAAGGCGAAGAGAGGCAGCGGGCACAACGGAGCCTGCCTCGAGCATCGCGTTGTACAGCGTGGGCGGACGACTCGACGGCGGCCTGGGGCGACTCCCGTCTCCCTTGGGGCCTACCTGAGGCCAGCGCCGCCTGCGCCTGCGCCCGCCCCCCGCCCGTGTGTGCGCCCTGCGCGTGCGCCGCGCGGCTGCGCTGCGCCACCCCCTCGCTGCGCGCCTACGCTGGAGGCCTCCGCCGCGCGCTTGCAGCGGCGCTGCGCGCCCATGTGGAGGGGGAGGAGGAGGGCAAGACAAGGCAGTGCTTCGGAGAGATCGGAAGGCGATCGCGCCAGACACGGGGCAAGGTAAACAATATGATGCCATCGACAGTATGTCCTGCTTCTCTCTCACTCTGTTGAGGAGGCCAGCCATCATCTGCTCATGTTGTGGGGCGTCCTGACCAGCCCAAACACTTTGAACAGCACGGGGACACTTTAAGCCGAGTTACATGAGGGAGGCAGGGAAAACAAGGGAGGAGGAGGAGGACGAGACGAGACGAGACGAGACGAGACGAGACGAGACGAGACGAGACGAGACGAGACGAAACGCTGCAGTGCGCTCTGGGGCGCGGACATATGGAGAGCGCATCGGGGGGGCGTGGCCCCTCAGATGTCGATGGGAAGCATTCAGGAGGGGAAAATCACACACACACACATACACACACCGACGCAATTAATCGTCGACCCCCTGGAAAATATTGGAAACATATGGGAAGTGGGGAGAAGACGAAAACCCAGAAAATGTATGGGAAGTGAGGGGAAGACGAAAACACAGAACATACGGGAAACTATGGAGGATCTTATTATATGTGTCTATTTGTTTGTGTGTCTCAGGGCCCCTTGAAGTATGCACGTGCTTGAGCTCCGTGCGCTCACCGCAGCTCTATTCTGTCGACGCTTCGGGGCTGCCCCCGTGCAGGCAGAGGCCTCGTCGAATGGCCAAACGTTGGGCTCACGCGTCCGGCTTCTGTCTCGTCTGGAGGCAACCGGCATGACTCTGACAGACCCAGTCCGTGCCAAACGATCGAGGAAGATTGGTCTTCACCAGGCTCTGGAAGCACATCTTCACGTCGCCGCCTCCCTCGATGTCCTAGGGCTCACATGTCTGGCTCCTGTCTCTTCTTGAGGTAACTGGCATGACTCTGACAAACCCCGCCCGTGCCAAACCATCGAGGAGGACTGCTCTTCAGCAGGCTCGGGAAGAAGATCTTCACGTCGCCGCCTTCCTCGATGTCCTAGGGCTCACATGTCTGGCTCCTGTCTCTTATTGAGCTAACCGACACGACTTTGACAAGCCCAGCCCGCGCCAAACCATCGAGGAAGAATGTTCTTCACCAGGCTCGGGAAGAATATCTTCATGGCGCCGTCTCCCTCGATGTCCCAGATCTTCCAGCGGGCCTCTGGATTCAGAAAAAAACGGCACGAACCATCAGCAAAAAAGAGTTCTTTGCACTCCTTCGAAACATCCCCAACCGTAGGATCCGCGATGTCCTCCCACGCCCTTTGCATGTACAATTGTTCGACCATATGATTTCATGTGTACCTGGTACTGCGGATCGTCAACAGTTGTCTGTGTTGAGTTGTCCTATTTGCTGAATTCGTCGGTTCGCCAAAAGATATGGACAGTTCATGGCTGGCATCGGTTTCTGCCATGTCAGACCGACATAAGTCCGAATGTTTTGTTCCAACTCTCTCTGGTGAACTGCTGCATCAACTACCAATGTGTTTGCCATGAGAGTTGCCTACGCATGCTACATAAGGCAGTACATGAGCATTGGTGTCTCTATCACTGCCCATGTAGAAGGCATCGTGGGAACCACGCCTAGAAGGTAGAAACTGCTTACGGGAGATTTAGAAGCCTGATTCCAATGTAGAGTTGGTGTTGCCGATGTCGTGGTCGCGAAATTTATCGATGCGCATCTCCATGAAACCTCAATGCGGTGATCTCGTGATCTCTCTGCGTGTGGGGCCCAAGTTCTGCACAGCGAAACAGCCACATGTTGTTTAGAGAGCGTTCTCCTACGTATGCAGTGGCGGAAATCGCCCGCGCACCGAGTCTGTGACACGTGGTTCTGCGCTTGCTGTCCACAAGGGGAGGCAGGATGTGTCCGCCTGTGGCGTTTGGAGGCAGCCGACGGCGAGCCATATCCCACGAGCCCGGGGGCACTGGAAAACAAATGCGAACCGTGTGCTCCCCATGCTTGCACGTTGAGGCTTCGAACAAGTTGAGCGCTGACACGGACATCCCCAAATTTGAGAACGGAGAAACAACCTGGGCGTGACTCAAACAAGATCGTAAACCAGACTTGCACATATCAGTCAGTACTTGAGCCAAAATGGATTGAGCAAAACCGTCTATGGAGGATGAGGACGGCGACGTGGTAAGTGCTATTTCCGCCGATGGTCCTGATCCCTGGATGCCCCCTGAGGCTTCTGGAGGCTCCTGGAGGTCTCATTTTTTTCTGGAGGCGTCCGAAAACCTCCTTCTTCTACCTTTGAGGGCAAAACTTAGCAGGACGACGAGGACGACCGACCCGTGGTATTGTCCTGGGGTGCGTTCTGGCCAAGATTTGGAGGCGGACCCAGCCGTGCCCACGGGGTCGCCCCAGGAGGCCCAGAAAGGCCCTTCACGCTTCAATCCTCTGTCGAACCTCGACAGACTTCCTTCCACGACGACGTCGGCGACAACGAGGAGGTGTTTTTATGTTATACATGGTGGACCCTAGGCACAGTTCCTGACTGACTGACTGACTGACTGACTGACTGACTGACTGACTGACTGACTGACTGACTGACTGACCAGGCCCTTGAAGGTCTCGACCCGTTCCCTGGGATTGGTTTTTCATCCTGAGTACTTTATAGTTGACAGAATTGGGGCCCGTTGAGTGGTAGCTCCCAGGTGCCGAAAATGCCAAAGCATCTCCGTCATGTTGTTGTTACGTCTCGATGTGGTCTGGGGGGGAGGGGGGAGGAGGAGGAGGAGGAGGAGGAGGAGGAGGAGGAGGAGGAGGAGGAGGAGCAGGAGCAGGAGCAGGAGGAGCAGGAGGAGGAGGAGGAGGAGGAGGACGAGGAGGAGGAGGAGTAGGAGGTGGAGGAGGAGGAGGAGGGGGAGGAGAGGGAGGAGGAGGAGGAGGAGGAGAAGAAGGAGGAGGAGGAGGAGAAGGAGATGGAGAAGGAGAGGGACGACGAGGACGACGACGACGACAACGACGACGGCACGGTCGTCTGGTGTCGCGCGTGGCGATGGCCCCCGAGAGTGACCGAGGGCCCGCCGACGAGGGCCGCCGAGGGCCGCCGCCGACAACGACCACCACCACGACGACGAGGCCCTCTGGCGCCGCGCGGCCGACGGCGCGCTCCGCCCAGGCCGCTGCCGCCGTGTCGGCGCGGGCGGCCGCCAGCGACGACGCCGCCGACGGCGTCGCCAACCGGCCGACCGAGCATGAGTCGGCGGCGAGCGAGGGGGGGAAGTGAGAAGGAGAAGACCGGCCCTCTGAGAAGGCGGCGGGGCTTCTCGGGAGCCCTCGCGCCCTCCGGGAGGCTTTCTCTGTCTTCGGGGGGGGGCTTAGAAAACTTCTCTGGAGGTCGGGGGACTTCCGAGCATTCTGAGAAGGCCTTCTCCTTCTCACTTCCCCCTCGCGCTCGCCGCCAAATGAAACGAGAATCGATCGAGAGTCTCTTAAACAATCGATTGGCCTCCAGGGCCGCTGTCAGGGCCCGAGGCCATCGAAAGCAGATTCAGGGCAAAAAGTCGTCCCTACTCTGGATGGGACAATAATCGCCTCCCCCTTGAGTCCGCTGGGGGGGTGGGCGCGTGCTGTCAGCAGAGGAGGATGAGGTGGTGGAGGAGGACGGAGGGGGGCGGGATTGGGCAAGCTCAGTCGGGAGTTCCATCACCCCCCCCCTTGATAAACACTCCATCCAGAGTAGGGAAGTGGTCGAGCCTTCTGGGGCCCACGGCGGCCGTCGTCGTCGGCGCCGTCGCCGTCGGCGACTGTGGCCGTCGTCCTTGCCGCCGCCGCCCGCCGTCGCTGCACGAGGGCTCCGAAGGCCTTCGAGTGCCCTCGAAGGCCATCGGAGTGCCTCTTGGAAGGTACTCTGGATGTTTTTGTTTTTGTTTTACCAGGGGGGGAGATCAACCTCCTGATTGAGCCTGCCCAATCCCGCTCCCCTCCATCCTCCTCCCCCTCCTCGTCCTCCCCCTCTCCCTCCAACCCCCCCCCACCCATTTCGACAGCACGTGCTCAAACCCTCAGCGGATCCAGGGGGGGGGGGGGGGGGGCGATGCTCGTCCCATCCAGAGCACGCATCTGGAGAATGCCCGAGGCTGCCCGCGAGGTCGCCGCCGCAGGCGAGAGCATCGCGACGGAGGTTTTCCCCAGCTCTCTCCTCCTCCTCTCTCCTCCTCCCTCCTCGCTCTCCCTCCCTCCTCCTCCTCCTCCTCCTCCTCCTCCTCCTCCTCCTCTC